CTACCGGTTGATCCTTCATCACTTGATTCAATATTGGCTGATGTTGATCAGTTCACCCCACCATCATCTACTGATAGCGATGAAGAGCAGAGCTTACCTCTTAATAATAATGATACTAATAATGATGATGGTGGTAATAATACAAATAATAATAACACAAATGATAATATAAATAATAAGAATAATAATAGTAGTAGTAGTAGTAGTAGTAGTAGTATTGATAGTAATAATACAAAGAGTAATAATCATAATTCAATACGGGCAAGCTCTGAAGTTCTTGAGTCAATTGATTTATTCACTGGTGCTGATTTCAGTCATACGTCAAAAAATACAAAGTCGTCGTCAGTTAAACCACAAAATGCGCAAGAATTTTGTAAAAAACTCACAAATGGAATGTGTCCCGATAATCTTGATGACGATGAGGAGGACGATGATGATCATACAACTTCCAACAGCGGGCAAAGTTCCATATCAACAGACACCCCTCCAAAATCAAAATCTGGAGACTATACAAGATATCGTGATCCTACACCATTTACCGCGTCTATTGATAATCCATACTCTGAATCAGAACCGATCCCACCGCTTTTTGAAGGAGATTTTGATCGTTTTGGCACCTATGCACCAATGCAAACTCCTAGCCAAGAAATTAAAAATCCGCTGAGTGCACGCGTATCCAAAAGAGGTCTCTCAATCGAAGATATGAGTAAGAAGTATCTCTCTTGCAATAAAATATGGGAAAAAATTCAACAAAGTCCAAATTACGATGACTTCGAAGGCGATGTAATTGATACTCTTTGCACCGAACTACAATCTAAGGCCAAGTGTACTGATCATGGACTTGTAGTGCCCGAGGAAGAGGTCGAGAAAATGCTTGGAAAGTTGGAAGAAGAAAAAGATCATTAATCGTCACCACAAAATATATACATCAAAAACACCTTAGATATTCCTTTTTAAATGTAGATACTTTTCTATACAAAATATACACTTTATATCAAATGCACATTATCATAGCCTCTTCTCATTTTGATCTTACAGTATACTGACTTTTTTATTTACTATGGGATGAAGAATATAAGGTAA